TCGTTTTAGTTATTTATTTATTTGAATACAACGATATTGGTAGAAGGGAGCACCAGACACATATGCGCCACATAAAAATCATCAGATTTATGTGAGGGCTGTGATACTGGTCGGGTGCCCAAACCGAAGCGAGTGGTTTTCTTAGGGGGCACACCCGTAGACTTTGACCGAAAGGTGTTGAACATGGTGGATCTGATGCAGACGTGAAGGTGCGGATTGACAAACCAAGAGCAACATATTCACGACCGAAGAGCATCTGGAAGTCGAAACAACTGTCTGTCAAGCAACACTCAACTCAGAATTTTCAATAGAAATATCAAGACAGTTCTACTGTATGGAACGGAAACTTTTAGAACTATAAAAGCCATCATCCAGAAAATACAAGAGTTTATTAACAGTTGTCTACACAAAATAGTTTGGATCCGTTGGTCAGACACTATCAGCAACAACCTGCTGTGAGAGTGAACTAACCAGATTCCAGAGGAGGAAGAAATCAAGAAGAACCACTAGAAGTGGATATGACACACATTGAGAAAATCATCTGAATGCATCACAAGACAATCTCTCATCACTTGGATTCCTCAAAGCCATAGGAGACAAGGAAGACCAAAGAACACATTTTGTCGAGAAGTGGAGACAGATATGAGAATAATGAACAACAATTTGATAAAAGTAGAAAGGAATGTCGAGGACAGAGTGAGTTTGTTAGGAAATGCTGATCGGTAATCTATGTTCCATTGGCGGGGTGGGGGTAACACGTGTAATTAATTTTAACCCAGGACTTGTTGGTCTTGTGCACGAACTCTAAACTTTTAGACCACTGATCTGACCGTTATCCAATGATGTCAATGTCTAACTTCAACCATCATTGCACCAAAATTGAGCCACTCTCCACCATTGTATTCATCAATGAATTACTATCTCATAACAGACATTGCTGTCAGACATTATTTTAATGATAAAATATAAATAGACTTTAATCAATAACTTTTTTTTCTGTTAATCTGTAATTAATAGTTTTGTTAGAAAAACAATCATTTGTATCTATAAAATTAATTTTAATCATAAATCTTCCTTTAAATAAATAAACAATATAAAAATGAATTGAAACCTCACCCCCCCCCATTGTAAAAGTTAGTTGCTATCTGGACTTAGTAGTTAAATGTATGAAGTGTTAGTGTTTGAAGCGAATGGTACTGAGTTCCAGTCCGGGAGTGAACATCAATTCTGTGTGATGTAAGTACATCTAGTTGACCAGTCTCAAATTATCTTTAATGATAAATTTTGTTTGTTGTGTAAATTGTCAGTTTGCTTAGTTTTTGTCACTAATTGATAATAGACAACAATTAAAAACCTAGAAGCACTGGATAACTATGTTTGAAAAGTGTTTAAAACGAAATAGCCATACAATCTCTTTGTATTTTCAACCATTGACAAACTAAAATGATTCAATGAGATTAATCTAAATGTCTGATCCACATGGCGGTGGAGCATTGTAAGGAGATACAGTCCCATAGTGACCGGTGATCAACTATTGGTTCATACGCCATTTGTTCCGTCAGGATACTAGAGCCTATGTACACCACTGGCTTGGAATCAGGTTTTTCAACTCCCCTAGGTGGACCCTACATATCCACTGGCCTGATTAAAGCGCCTGCCATTCAATTTTCGTCCTCTCAATTTCATAAACAACAGTAATGCAACGAGAAGGTAGTGAGTAGGACTTGTGTGGCAGAAGCTATATACGCGTGGCCATATGAGAGCATTTGGAGAGGGAGACCTATCTCTTTCCACTCTCGGCCGTACCAGGGCATTTGAAGACAAAGTGCCCACAGCACGCGGTCTCGCCGAGACTGGAACTCGGGTTGCTGGATTCAGAGTCCAGAGTGCCAACCGCCACATTGATTGACTGTTGTGAACAATCTAATAATCAGACAGTAGGATTACTGTCTTTACGATGGATTTCGTGAGTTGATCAACAGTCTTAAACTAATAGGATGTCAGTTATTTCTACATACATTCGGTATTTAATTGAAACATTAGAACTGTTATTAGTACTGGGTTGGTCGGTGTAATGTTGTTTAACCCATCAAATATTACATAACAAAATCGTTATTCCGAACATCAACTTATATAACTTTGTTCTTATAATGAAAGAATGACACATGAAGACGACATTAATAGCTTTGGATCCAATCAGTTATCATTGGTTCTCTGTATAGGAGCTTCTTGTTTAACTCAGCCCATTCAGTTCAAAACACAAATATCAGCTCCGCTATATAAATCATACATATTAGACATACGCGTAACAGTAACCAATAGGTCAAATTAAAGATTATAATAAGAGAAATATGAATATACATATAATTTAGTTAACATGGTGGTTTAATGTAGTCAACAGGAAACTGTGGACATAGGTTTCGTGCTACTTGGCTCTAGTCAGTAAGGTATACCTTTAGTCTTGAGAGAACTGGTACTCATTGATGGATTCGATCCCGTGTCACCCAGCTTCACAGTCAGAGACGCTACTACTACGCGATTGACCTCCTGTAGAACTGAGATGTATTAACGAATGATTGATCACTAAGTGGTGATCAATATCATGTGTGTCAGATCATTTTTAGTCTAATCCTATCGACCAAGTTTCAATGTGACCACTAGTCTAGGTGACTTGATATTGCGTGCATTATGTTAAGATAAGATAGTGGTTGGAGGTAGTTAGCAGGAAATCGCAGACGTAGGTTTTGTGCTACTTGAAACTCATCAGCAAATTGTACTTGTAATCTTGAGAACCTGACGCACACGACATTGATCACCACCCAGTGACAAACCGATTTCAAATATAATCTAATTACTTAATAATAATCTAATAGGAATGTTCTGTAGTAGTAGTCAATAGGTCAAATGAAAGCTTATAATAAGAGAAATATGAATATACATATGATCTAATACAGTAACATTTTGTTTTAGTGAGTTCATTTTCTACTGGATAAGGTCACTAACCCTATGTCCAACTCTTCTCCTTTATCTCGACTTTAGATTGACAGTTACTTCAGATCGTCTCTAATTGAAATTCATCATTTAATTACTTAATGACAATTCATTCAAAAGTTACTCATAATTTAAACAACTTCAACTACACAACTATAGATATTTCAAATGTATTCATCATGTCTTTGAACTTATGACGCCCACAACAACAATTCCAACAACAACAAAAGCAACCAGAACCTTGTTTAATTCGGAGTCTGTTCGACTTTATAAGTGGGGTCTGTACAGCAAAAAAGACGTGGTTCAGATATTTGATGTTCTAGTAATACATTGATGTATGATTCTGTCTAAGTGATCTACAATCGTGAACTCTTGTATTCTAATAATTGCAAACATTTAAATCAAACATAGCTTAATCCAATTCGAAAGAAAATGGTTTCTTAGTATATCAATCCGTCTAAATGAAGAAGTTTTCATGCTCTAACATATATCAGGTTTTACAAATTATTTTTCTGAGTTAGTGGAGGTGCCATGATAAATGTCCCTTGAACTGAAACTTGATGATATGTGACAGAACAGAAAAACTGAACATCGATTTCATACTGTCCCAAAGGTTTGGTACTTACGTAGAGATGTGGGTCAGAGAGAAGCACAAGTGATAAGATAATGAAATTTTAAGCGAAATATTACCTGTTAATCTCTACAAAAGGCTAACTTTTAATACCAATAATCGATTCTGAACAAAATCTAAATAGATTTAATGTAGAGTCTATGCAAAATACTTCAGATCCATTGGCCAGACATTATAAGCAACAACCTACTGTGAGAGAGAACAAACCAGAACAAGCCAGCGAAGTAAGAAATCAGGAAGAACCTCTAGAAGTGGATAGGACACACATTGAGGAAAGCACCCACCTGTGTCACAAGGCAATCCCTCATCACTTGGATTCCTCAAAGCTAAAGGAGACAAGGAAGACCAAAGAACACATTATATCGAGAAGTGGAGACAGCTATGAGAATAATGAACAACAATTTGATAGAAGTAGAAAGGGAGGTCGAGGACAGAGTGAGTTTGTTGGAGAATGCTGATCGGTGGCTTATGTTCCATTGGTGGTGGTGGTGGGGTAACAGGCGTAATTAAGTAAGTAAGTAAGTAATACATTGAATTTTAACAATTCCAACAACAACAACAACCAGAACCTCATTTAATCCATCAACAAAGTGAAATACCGACTAAATCATCAAACTTAAATGGTACCTTTAAAAATTCACTGGTTGAAATTATGAGTCAATTAAAGCTAGATCAACATGGAAAAACCTGGAAGCTTTGGACAGCCGTTTCGTCCCGGTATGGGACTCCTCAGAATTGCGCATCCACAATCCTGCACTCCGCAAGATTCGAACTCAGAACCTTTCAGTCTCGTGCCAGGCATTTAACCTTTAATATTTATTATCATAACAAATCAAAATAGATAGGAAAAGAAATAATATTCTCCCAAGTAATCTGATTGGTTGAAATAGATGAATATTGTTTAGATGGGATTTGTCTATTTGTATATCTATGTCTATATATATGTGCATGTGTGTCTGTGTATGTTTGTAGTTGTGTTGATGTTCTCTATTGAAATACCAATTTTTTTAAAAATTAGTTTTATTGTATTTCTCCTTTTTTTTTCTTTTTCTTCTAAAAGTGAAAATCAACAGAATTCACCATCAATGAAAAGTTAGTCTTCCTTCATTGAATATGATCATGATCTGATGTAAAAGATCATTCTTGGAAAAAGATCATCCATTCACTGATTCTCATTACTTCATCTTATATAAACTGATAATGATATTTCTACAATTATTTCATAAAAGATGATTTATACTATTGATTACTTCAATGAATATCAAGATCATATCAAGAATTGAATTGTTGAATTAAACTTTAATTCAAACAAAAACATTGAATACTGAAAGGAATCTATTGAAACAGATTATATTCAATTTAAATACTTCATTTATACATGACAGAACAAATACCATTTCAACGTACATCCACCATAAAACATCGTATTAGTAGAACTGGATCAATTGGACAAGATCATAATAATAATAATAATAATACAATTGGTAATATGATGACAACTAGTGGAATAAATAATAGTGGAATACAACATCAACAATCCAGTATAAGAAGACCATCAATTATGCAAAAATATATGGGTGAAATTGAATTTACTGGATTAAATCAAACAGCTAGAGTAAGTTGTATCTCTTTTCTGTAAATTGTCTTGTATTGTTATTGTAGAATTGATGATCTTTGATGAAGTTTTATTCTCTGAGCTGAATGGTTTAGTCCAGCTCAGAGAACCAAAACTCCATCAGAGATCATCCATTTGAGCTACAAATCTTCTCCATCATCTTAAATTGATGATCTCATATGAGATGGATAGTTTGTCATTGATATGATGGATGATTTGGTATTCACTTTGGAAAGTTTTACTAAATTGATGTGTTAGTTAATTGATTTCATTCATATTGGTAGTTACTTTTCAGTGTTCTTATGGGTCATTGTAAAGCATGTCACTATTGCTAACATTAATGAGTTTAATTGTCATGTAAGTGGAATAGGTTAACTTTGGCCTATTCATACTGTTCATAATCAGTTTACTTAATCAATGATCGGTATAATTTTATATATATGAATGATGCAAATGATTCACCTGGGTGCTTAGTACCTGTATGGTTGCACAACAGGATTGAACTCTACTATTCAGATTGTAGCGCTTAAATCTATACGGTGTCTGATTCTCTTGTGAAGCGGGATTGAGTTATATTATCTGGGTTGTCACATGAAAGTCTAGATGATGTCTAGTTCTCCTGAAAACCAATGTAAAATTACTTTAGCCCACAAGCAGTATATCAATAAACTATTTGATCTTGTCATTAGTCATATGGTTGTTTTATCTCTGAGATTAATTTACGAGTTATTATTAGACTCAATAATCATTTCATCAAAGTACATTTCATTGTTATTACTATTATTGATGAGTTCACTCGATATTATAGTTTTGATACAATATACAATTCACAGTAGAAAGTATTTCAACAGGTCCCATTCTCTTATTTCTTGATCGATACTGATGACAAATATTGAAGTGATTGACAGTGACATGTTAGCAGTTCATCAATTCATATCTGAATGTATATTGTCTGCCTACCTACATGATGATGATGATGATGATTTGGATGATGATGCCTTGGATGATGATGATGATGCTTTGGAAGATGATGATGATGCTTTGGAAGATGATGATGATGATTGTATTTTAGTGTAAGCTATACAATGAAAGATTGTAAACTTTTCATAAACACACATGGATAAGATATAAAATTAATAGACATAATGATGTATTTAAACAAAGTATTGTTTTCAACAAATTCTCTCTTCTTAATTCCCGACTATCCTGACGATAAATACTGAGTGATCCCTGAATGTTTAGTAATGATTAGTTCCATGATCCACTATAGTGAAACAATCAATATAATTCTATTACTTACTTACTTACTTACTTACTTACGCCTGTTACTCCTTGTGGAGGATCATGGGCCGCCAGTCAGCAGTCTCTGTCCAACCCCAATTCTATAGTACAACGTGAATGATGCCTATTTTAACCATAATATGCTCTTACAATGAAACCTTGTTATATTGTATAATTAATGAAATGTATTCTGTGTTTCTATCTACCTGATGAACTTTAATTATTTCACAGAGCTTAATGAAATACGCATCTACTTAATTAGAAATTATCATATAGATGAATATATTTCAGTGCGTAGATGGAATAAAGCTATGACCATCATGGAAAATCTAGTTACTAGGATGAAACAGACGTCTAGTGTTTATAGGTTTTCATTGGTGATCATGGCTTTAATCAACTCATCAATTCAACGATTAAACAACTACTTCAATTTCCCCGACACTCACCCCCTACTGTTTTTTTCTGATCATTTCAATTTATTAGTTTGTTATAAATAAATAAAAATCTTCAAGTCAATCAATTGTCGGATTATTTCTGTGATGTATACTACTGATATCGATAGATATCAGTAATATATATCATTAATCGAAAGTGAAATGCCTAGCAGCAAAAGGTTAAGAAGATTCAAGGAGAGAGAATGAGAACAAAGAATGATTGATATGGAAACAAAGAAATAGTCAAATCTGAGATAGTTGATTAACATTTTGTCAACTGTTATTTTTGTATTCGAATATATTCAGTTGTCCTCGTTGATGTTCTCCTTCAGTACACTTATAAAAAGGATTTCATTGAATAATTCATTGACCTATTCATCAAGTGAATGAGTTTTTTCCATAGTATAATGTAATGATTTTTTTACTTACTCCTGTTACTCCTCGTGAAGGAGCATAAGTCGCCCACCAGCACTCGGAATCCAACCCTATCCTGGGCAATCCTTTCCAGCTATTCCAAGTTGTTATTCATCTTTTTCATATTTGCTTCTATTTCCTGACGTAATGTATACTTTGGCCTTTCTCTTTACCGCTTTCTTTCAGGATTTCAAGTTAGGGCTTGCCTCGTGATGCAGATTTATGATCTGCGTAATGTACGTTCTATCCATTTCCATCATCTTTTTCGAATTTCTTCTTCAGATGGAAGCTGGTTTGTTCTCTCCCACAAAAGGCTGTTGCTGATAGTATCCGGCCAATGCATGTTGAATATCTTGCGTATACAACTATTTATAAATACTTGTACCTTCTTAATGATGGTTGTGGTAGTTTCCCAACTTTCACTTCCGTACAGTAGAATTAACTGTCTTGACATTCGTATTGAAGATTTTGACTTTGATATTGGTTAATAGACAGTTGTTTTAAGTTCCATATATTCTTCAATTGTAAGGATGAGACCCTTGCTTTACCAGTCTTCGTCTTTACGTCTACATCTGATCCACCCTGTTCATCGATGATACTTTCCAGGTATATGAAGGATTCTACATCTTCCAGAGTTTCACTATCGATTTTGATTGGGGATTTATGTTCTCCATGTTGTATTTGAGGATCTCGATTTTTTCTCCTTTTTATATAGCATTTAAAATAGTTTAAATTGTTATTAATCAGTAGTATAATTAACAAATCAGTAGTTTAATCTCAATCATTTATATGAGACAATATTAATTTCAGGGAATAGATTAGATAACTATTTAAGATACATTTTTTTCTTGTTTACTTACATTAATGAATATTCCTTGTCAATCTGTAGTATTGGAATAGAATTCAGTGTGTAAATAACTTAGTTGTTGTACTTCAGTGCATAAAGGTATAGTATATATCAATATTTGACAGAACAGGATATTCTGGAGGCGGATATTGACAGCCTGTTTGAATATCTGGACTATCTATTCTTGTTGTCATGAATATATTTCAACACGTTTGTTTAAACACATCATTATTGTCTATTAATCGTATATCCTATTCAAGTATGTTTATGAAAAGTTTATAATCTTTCATTGTACAACTTACACTAAAGTACAATCATCATTATCAGACATATCATAGTGGCTGTCAAGCAATATGCATTGTAAATAAAGAACATTATTCAGATGTCGATTCTTAAATTGCTGACATCTAATCGAGGATCACTCAGTATTTATTGTTAGGATTGTCGGGAATAAGGAGAGAGAATTTGGTGAAAAAAATACTTTGTTTAAATACATCATTATGTCTATTAATCTTATATCCTATCCATGTGTGTTTATGAAAAGTTTACAATCTTTCATTGTACAACTTACACTAAAGTACAATCATCATCATCATCATCATCATCATCATCATCATCATCATCATCATCATCATCATCATCATCATCATCATCATCATCATCATCATCATCATCATCCAAATCATCATCATCATCATCATCATCATCCAAATCATCATCATCATCATCATCATCATCATCATCCAAATCATCATCATCATCATCATCATCCAAATCATCATCATCATCATCATCATCATCATCATCATCATCCAAATCATCATCATCATCATCATCATCATCATCATCATCATCATCATCATCATCATCATCATCATCATCATCATCCAAATCATCATCATCATCATCATCATCCAAATCATCATCATCATCATCATCATCATCATCATCCAAATCATCATCATCATCATCATCATCCAAATCATCATCATCATCATCATCATCATCATCATCATCATCATCATCATCATCATCATCATCATCATCATCATCATCCAAATCATCATCATCATCATCATCATCACCATCATCCAAAGCATCATCATCATCATCATCATCATCCAAAGCATCATCATCTTATGCCAACATGGGAAGCTATTGAAATACCTTCTACTGTGAATTGTATATTGTATCAAAACTGTAATACTGATTAAAGACATTACTACTACTACTAATAATAATGGATGATCTTGATTAAAACACATTAGATTTATCCAAGTTTATTTCAATCTTACATGGATTACAAAAATCAATTATTCACTATTTAATAATCAGCCTATTTTCACTTCTAATTAGTTTTGGATATAAAATTTGCAATCTATGTGAAAATACTAGTTATATAACTTGTGTATGCTGCTTTATAACTTTTTCATTTCATATCAGTTTACACTGTGAATGTTATCATTTGTATTTCATAACGTTTTTATGAAGTTACGTCAGTATTAGTAGTAGTCGTAGTATTAGTCGTCGTCGTCGTAGTATTAGTAGTAGTAGTAGTAGTAGTATTCGTCGTCGTTGTAGTAGTTCTAGTAGTACTGGTAGTAATAGTAGTAGTAGTAGTACTGGCAGTAGTAGAAGTATTAGTATTGGTAGTAGTATTGTTATTGGTAGTAGTACTAGTAGTAGCAGTAGTAGTGGTCGTAGTAGTAGTAGTAGTAGTAGTGTAGTGAAGTAGAACACTGTTTAGAACAACCGAACTATATTTAGCACAAAATTACAGAGTTACCTGGTAAAATAGAAAAATCGACACTATAATACCTAATTTGCAAAATGTTCAATAATTGTCTCGAACTTCATTATTCTTGCATTTCTCTACTCATTGCTTTCTATTCCCGTTCTTTCTTTCTTGATCTTCGCAATCTTCTGCTACTAGACATTAAATTCCTGACTCGCGTTATATACTACTTATGTCAATAGCACGCACCACAGTAGTAAGAGTAGTAGTGTTGGTAATAATAATAGCA